CAGTCTTGCTGTGGTTAATCCCCCGCCGTTTCTATTACCAACACCACAAGAGCCCATGCTCTGCTTCACAGACACTGTGACTCTATGGCTCCCCAGAGCTGTGGTTCCTAGAATTCAATGTGTTGATGTCAAGACTGTGGTTCTGAAAGTGGAAGACTATACCGCTGAGGAACAGCACAAGGGCCCCAGAGGAGGCTGAGGCAGTCATGTAAAGGAAGGCCCCGCCTAGGCCTCTGCCCCAAGCTTCATGTCTGGATCAGGTGAATGGCACCAGCAACAGGCTTGGAACTAGAAAACCTGGAATGTAGTACATGGGTTATGACTCATCTGAGATGCCCCAAGGACAGCTTTAAAAACAAAATTATGTGTATGTATGGGGAGGGTATGTGCACATGAATGCTGATACTCCAAACACAGATTTTATTTTTACTTGTGGCTTTTTGTAGTGCTGAAAATGGAACTCAGGGCCTGGTATATGGTATATAGGCTGGTATATAGGCTACCACTGAGCCACACTTCCAACCACTCAAGCATAGCTCTAACCCAGCCAGTGTTCTCTCACAGGCACAGTTATCGAGCTCTGTTTTCTGAGTGATACAGAAGACCATCAAGGCTAGAACTAAGCCCACACATTTCCATTACTGGGAGCCTGGGCCCTGTGCAGTTCAGGAAGAGGGGTTTGTTCCCAGCTCCTCCAACAGCACCCACAGCTGCTAAGACCTTCCCTGAGTTTCAAGGGAACCAAGATTCAAATGGATTCTTGCTCTTGGCACCTACTTTGATTTGCAAAAAGGAAGAGAAGATAACAAGGAAGGGGAGGGAAAAGAAGAGACTCAATTCTGCTCCTTCCTCTTTCCTATCCTCTCCTGGGTCTGATGCAATGGGCCAGCCACTGGCTGTGCTTGAGGTTCAGTGTCTGTGCCCCTTGGCTTCTCCCAGAAGAGTGACAGAGAATCCTGATGTCTCTACAAGGGAAGGAGGCCTGAAACAACACAACAGAGGGGCCAGTGGCAACCCACTACCCAGACCACCTCGTAGCACAGGTGACGAACTAAAACCCAGGAAGGACTGAGGCTGCTCAATCACACCCTAGTAGAAGACCAAAGCCAGAAGCTTTGGGCTCCCCGCCCTTTGCTAAAATGTAAGTTTCTGATTCTAAATGGGACCTCAAAGCCCAGCCTGGAGCACTCAAACTCAGTACAGAGTACTAAGGGAGCATCTTTGTCAGTGGTGCATGGAGGGAAGGGGGGGCAAGGGCACTTACACTTCCCCAGAACTCTGCCCACTCATTTATGCCAGCCTTCCCTCAGAGGCAGGCCACAGAGTGGAGGAGGGTATTAAATATCAGAGAGTTATTTAAACGCCAATTGCCCGCTCCTCCCAAGCAGAGTATGGCCTCTGCTGACTCAACGGAGAAAATGAATCTCGGGCCTATGGATTTTCCTGTGTCTCAAGGCAGCGTGGGAGGAGGGAGGCTGTAATGAGTGATGAAAGAGGGAGGCCCACAGTGAAGCTCCCTACTTCCAGCCAGGATAGCACAGAGACACACAGGGATCGGAGCTGGGCTTCCCCCCAGTCATCATGCCAGGCTGCTGGGTTGCAACTCCATCTGCCTTAGAGAAAGGTGAACAGAGAGATACCTGAAAGGGACCCCCAAAACACACACACACACACACACAGAGTTTATAGTTGCTTTCACTGTATGACTAAGTAAGCTAAGGCCATAACTGCCATGGAGCCAAGTTCAAGGCTACATATGAAAGTGAAGGCAAAAATATGAATGAGTTATATACTATTTCCATGCCTAAATATGTAAAGAGTCTATGACTCAGAGGCCCTTTGTCCATTTACACTGAGGGAAACTGAGGAAACACAGATGCTTGCCTAAGAATTTGAGTGCTCTCCAAGCATCTCTGAGAGCAAAGAGGTGGTGCCTGCTGAGTAAGGGGATGCTGTCAGGTGCTACCAGGGAAGTCACAACCTCCTCATACTCTGAGTGCACTGGAGCATAGAAGTGGGGTCTTTTCAAGGAGGAAAAAAGCCAGAGTAAAGGAACCTGAACACAGAATGGGACATCACCTTGCAAGGCTCAGAGAGGAATCCTGAGTCTTAGGATAAGAAACTCAAGAACAGAGGCCCAAGCTAAGCATGATGGTACTCTACTTTAATCCCAGCATTTGAGAGGCAGAGATAAGTAGATCTCAGTGAGCTGACGGTCAATCTTGTCTACATAGCAAGACCAGCCATAGCTACATGCTGAGGCCCTGTCTCAAAACAGAAACGAACAACTCAACCAACAAAAACCCTGAGTCCTGGTCCAGGTGAATGGCTGCCAGTTACTCTGCTTGGATGTGATGCAGTGCCTGTGTTGCTCTTAGCTCAAGGAAAGTTTGAGAGGGCCAGCTCACCACCAGCAGGCTCCCAGTCACACTGTTGAGAGAGGAAGCCTGGGACACAGAGAACTGTTATGGCAAAGAAGCTATAGAAGCCCAAGCTCCTGAGCTGGTGGGGTGGGAGAGAAACACTTAACCTTCCAGGTGAAGGTCTCCTGGTACAGCTAATAGATGCAGGGTCCTCACCTAGCTGGCCTCAAGCCAGAGACTTCTCCGTGTTGAGCCCTGTGCTGGGCCATGACAAGATAGGACTCAGTCTGGTCTTGAGTCCCCACTACAAACAGTTAAAAAGCCCAAGAGAGTTCTGGCACTCTGATCACTAAATGAAGTTCCAGAAGAAGACCGCAGGCATAGCCAGAGGAGACTATCACAAAGGAGATAAACAGTCTAGGAACAGATACGTGCTTTGACTAAATTGGAACAAGCAGCCTCAGCCTCAAATGGATATACATTTATTAAAACACCTACTGTACATAATACACCGACAACTCTCTGAGAGAGAGCTCTTCTTCCAGAGAACACAGCAATTTCCTTATTTCCACAACACAGAGCATGGGTCCCCTTGTCCAATGATTATAGGTCCTTCCCAGGCTTCTCTTCCCTGACTGAGTTTAGCACCAATTAATGAAGGCTGCCTGCTGCACTGTAGCCCCTTTCCCTTGCAGGGGGAGCAGTGAAGAGCAAACAGAGGTCAGCCACCCTGAAAACCTAGGTGGGAACACTGGCCTTGGCAGTAGGCCACAGGTCCTTGGGGGTGGAGGCAGAAAGTCTACATGCCGTTGGGCCAAGAAGGCAGACAATTTTGAGCATTTGTTCCAAGTGAGAAAAGGAACCTGTGATCTCCAATGACCAAGAGCACAGTCCAGGGCTCCATCTGCATGTTTTGCACTTGCACCCGAGTCTGCAAGCTGCCCCTCCCAGCTGCAGTTGAAACCTGCTCTGGCGCAGTAAGCACTCACTCAAGCACTTAGGTGTACTTCTGAATCTATGCACATATACCAGGTTGCACTCCAAGATACATTCCTATTCCAACAGACACCAATGAGCCCGCATGTATCTGTGTGAGACAAATCTGTTCAAACCTACTGTGTGCACGTCGTGCAAACCTCCAATGCACATGCATGCACATCCAAGTAAGAATGAATTTGTGAGTCCACACACAGATATGTGTAGGTCTCTGTGTGTAAAACTTGCCTTCTGTGTAAAGGCACACATGTATGTATAAATTCATGTGGCCATGCACACTGACATGTCCAACTCTAAATGCGACAGTTACTACTGCTATCTGCCAGTACTGGGAGAGAGACACCGAGAGAGAGGACCGGATCAATAAGAGCTGGGGGACCCTTAGCATCATCAGCCTGGCCCTTATTGTTGGTATTTTCTTGAGACCCAGGCCACCGCAGGGTGTGCCTCTTAAATGGTTTCAATCTGCTGGTCGATCTGTTAAATACAACTTTAGGAAAGAAGTCAACCAAATGTCCCCAATTAGGAGAAAGAGACTGATGGATTCTCGCAAGGAGGAGGGGAGCCTCCATCCCAACCAGCTCTGCCAAGTAAGATACTCGAATGGCCTGAAGATCAAATGTCACTTCTCCAACCTGAATAATTCATGCCAAGACCAGGAATGCTCCCTTCTCTGGACTCTGTCTCTTTAAATCAGGTCTTGAGCTTCCCAGTTCTGGAGAGGGGAAAAAAATTAAATAAGCAAAAATCCAGAACAAAGCAAGCCTATTAGCAGCTCAGCCCCCATCTCCATCCTGGATGCTATTACAACCCCACCCCACACTACAAAATCAGTTCCTGATTTCCCTGCTTCTGGAACCCTCTCCCCCAACTTGCACCCCACTCAATACTGACTGGTAAGGGAGTTTGGAGGGGCAAAGCTGACCACCGTATCCTAGGGGTGCTCAGGTTCTGGGGTAGGGTGGGAAAGCAACAAGCTGAATCACTCCACCCACGGGTCCCTGAGCCTGGGAGGGGTCCAGCCTGAAGGGTGGAACCCATGGAGTGGTCCTTGCAGAGGCAGCACAGCCTGAGTTAGGGCATGGGAGGGAGCTGTGGGGACAGGGGTACTGCAAACTTCCCTAGGCCATGGGACTGCCGCACAGGACCTGCAGAGGTGGAGAAATGGCCGCGCCTAACGGAACTGGGATCACAGAAGAAGCCAAGGCTGGGTATTTTCCAGGCTCTCTCCGTTAGCACAGTCCCTTTCCTTGACTACAAGAAGAGTAACTTTCTCTGCCCACCGGCTCTTCTAGGGGCAGCAGCTCTAAACTCCTCTCCCACCTTCGCTGGGTGCTCAGACCCACCTGCCAGGTCAGCCTTGCCGGCCCCGCCCCACATGTGCCACGGAGGGAGGAGGAAAGAACCTGCCTAAACCTAGGGGTGAGGAAAGAAGCAAGTCAGAGCTTGGGGAGCCAAACTTCTCACCAGCTCGGGAACTAGAGAGCAGGGAGCAAGAGAGCGCAGAGGCCCTAAGCTTGCTGCTCAGGAGCCTCCCACCCCTCCTCCTTTAGCGAGGAGGTGCGGAGACTCCGCTGGGGGCGGAGGAGGCGGCCGGGAGGCGGGGAGGGGGAGGCAAACCCTGCCCACTCGGCTCGGAGCCCGGAACGGCCGCGGAAGTCGGAGGCCGGAGCGCAGGGCGCAGAGGGCATCGGGGGCGGGGGGCTCCTACCTGACCCCTGTCTCCCACCAGCCAGCAAAGTGAAGGCTTCTTCGGACTTTACAGGCAGAAGAGAGTGACCGGGACTGTCAGCCGCTCCGGGTCAAGGTCTAGCCCACCCTCACCCTCCCGTGCCACCCCCACCCCATCATCACCAAGCTCTCCTAACTCATTGGTGAGCGCGGCGGGCCAGGGGCTGGATGCGGGGACGGCCGCGATGGCCCCGCGCGCGGGACAGCGGGGGCTCTGGAGCCCACTGCCGGGTCTGCTGGTCGTGGCGGCGGCACTGAGCCGGCCCGCCGCGCCCTGTCCCTTCCAGTGCTACTGCTTCGGCAGCCCCCGGCTGCTGTTGCGCTGCGCCTCGGGCGCGGAGCTCCGGCAGCCGCCGCGGGACGTACCGCCCGACGCGCGCAACCTCACCATCGTGGGCGCCAACCTGACAGTGCTGCGCGCGGCCGCCTTCGCGGGAGGAGACGAGGAGGCGACGGACGGCGTGCGCCTGCCGCTCCTCACCGCGCTGCGTCTCACACACAACAACATCGAGGTGGTGGAGGACGGCGCCTTCGACGGGCTGCCCAGTCTGGCGGCGCTCGACCTGAGCCACAACCCGCTTCGCGCTCTGGGCGCCCGCGCCTTCCGCGGGCTGCCTGCTCTGCGCTCTCTGCAGCTCAATCACGCGCTGGCACGGGACGGCCCCGGGATGCTGGATGCACTGGACGCAGCGCTCGCGCAGCTGGCAGAGCTGCGCCTGCTGGGCTTGGCGGGCAACGCGATGAGTCGCCTGCCGCCCGCTGCGTTGCGCCTGCCTCGCCTGGAGCAGCTGGACGCGCGTGGAAACGCGCTGGCCGGCCTGGGCCCCGACGAGCTGCGCGCTCTCGAACGCGATGGCGACCTGCCCAGGCCGCGCCTGCTGCTGGCGGACAACCCGCTGAGCTGCGGGTGCACCTCGCGCCCCCTACTGGCCTGGCTGCACAATGCCACCGAGCGCGTGCCCGACGCGCGCCGCCTGCGCTGCGCCTCCCCGCGCGCGCTGCTCGATCAGCCCCTGATGGACCTGGACGAGGCGCGGCTGGGCTGCGCCGACGGCAGTGCTAACGAGCGCGGGGAAGAGGTGGACGTAGCCGGCCCGGAACTGGAAGCCTCTTACGTCTTCTTCGGGCTGGTGCTGGCGCTCATCGGCCTCATCTTCCTCATGGTGCTCTACCTTAACCGCCGTGGTATCCAGCGCTGGATGCGCAACTTGCGCGAGGCCTGCAGGGACCAGATGGAGGGCTACCACTATCGCTATGAGCAGGATGCAGACCCACGCCGCGCGCCTGCTCCTGCTGCCCCAGCCGGCTCCCGGGCCACTTCCCCAGGCTCGGGCCTTTGAGCCTCACCTCCCTAATGGGAGGCTGTCCCTGTCAGCTGATGACTTTACTGAGGCCACCCAACTTTCCCCTGCCTTGCCTGAGCCCTGGAGATGACACACCAATGAGTTTGGATCTCTGAGATCTTTGGATCAATTGTAGCATCTCTCCGATCCCGAAGCTCCAAGGTGTACTCTTTTTCCCTGGCCTGAGGTCAAAAACCCAGAGATGCCTCCATCTGTTTCCAGAAACAAATCCTTCCAGTCTGTCCTTCCTGAACCATTGAAATCCCTTCCCCTATATAGGTTCACTGAAAGACCCTGCTCTTCCCTTTTGAAATCTCTAGCACTTTCTCCGCCGTTCTCCGTGCTTTGAGCCAGGCACCTTGGCTAGACTGAACTGACCTCTGTCCCCAGTTAGGAGCCCTCAGTCCCTTTCTCGGAGCTCAGGGGGTCTACATCCCTTCTGGTCTTATCAGAAGGTTTTTGTGGAGTTGAGCCTTGTGTCCCACCGCAAAATTCTGAGCCCTCCATCTTGTAATCCACATCCGGAGGCTCTGTGGCTTAAGTGGCCTCCTCTAGTCTGATGTGCTTCATACCCTGGACTAGCTCAGACTCCTCCATTCCTTGTCCCTGGCTGGATCTCAGTTCCAGCCCTGTCTCTCTCAACCCAGGGACAAACCTCAGTGTAGAGTCCATCCGTAGCCTTTCCATCAGGGCTCTGATGTGCCAGAGCTCATGTTTGTCTTCAATCTCAAGCTCAGCTCTTCCTGCCCTGGCCCAAGTCTTAGGCTTTCAGGTCCTTTGACATTCATGCCTGGCACTTTTACCTGTCCCTGCCATTCACTGGTCAGAGTTCAGAGAGGAATCTCTCCCATGGTGAGGTGCTACTCACTGCCCTCCCAGGAGGAGTTCTCCCATCCTCTAGAACAAGGACAAGCACCCCATGGCGTGTGGGGTGTGCAGGGCCTCCAAATCAGGGTCACTGGTCCACCTGGGAACAAGAGGCTGGGAGCTGCTGCCTGTCTAGTTGGCCTGTGCTCTGCCCCACCCATATGGTCTTCACCTGGGAACTCCTTGCTACCACCTCTCATGCCTTCTGGAGAAGGTTAGAGTCTGACCTCTTGTCTCAGTCACAAGACTTCCTGGTCAAGGTCATGGCCTCAGAGCCCTGCCTTCTGCATGACCCCAAAGCACAATGGTGAGTGAGGAGGGACTGCCCCCCTGCCTCTCACCCTAAGTCAGGCAGAATGGCAGGCCTGTGCTGCCTCCGCATAGGAAGTCTTCCTCCTCAGTATATTGGCTTGAGGCCCGCCTTCCCACCCTCAACTGAGAAATCTGGACCTCCCTTGGGCTGTTTTCTATAAAGTCTGCAATAATCTCCAATACTCTCTGCTCTTGTAAGTGGTGCGTGTTTTTCCTACTGACCTTGGGGCATTGGTGGGAGCAAAGAGGTGCCGAGAGCTTTTGGGGAATGGCCCTTATGTGCTCTCTGGGGATATAGGAAAAGAAATTGGCTGTGAATGCACAAAGCAAGATTGAGGCTAGACACATGGAGGGGCTTTCCATCACTCTCCAAACCAGTCTGCTGTTTGATGGTCTGAATTGGGTTTATCCACAACCAGTATGGGAGTCTATGCTTCCTTTACTCGCAATAGCCTTTGTTTGGGGTGGGGGCCTGAAAGGAAATATGTTTAGACTGACTAACCTGACAGATGAGCCTTTTGGGAAGGAGGCCAGCTATAGAGGAGGCAGTTTATTGGGGCAAAATTGTCTAAGGGGCCCATCTGCTTGCTAGCATCTCCTGTGTTGGCCTGTGCCTTTTTTGGCTAGAGGAGTTGAACCTGAACACTGGGTGTACAAAAGGCAGCCTGGGGGAGTGGGGCAAAGTGACCCCCTTACTAAAGGTGGATTTGGGATGCAGGTGAAGGGGTTCATCTCTTACTTCAGTATTCCCATCATAATTTATTTAGGGTCTCAAAGCCCTAGAAGCTAGAACCTAGAATTCCAGCATGTATTTTAGAAGTACGGAGCTACATGTTTCTAGAATATGTGGCTTCTAAACACTCAAAATGCTGTCCTAGTGCCATGGAAAGCCTCTGTTGTCTTTGTGGGACACAGTGCAGTCTCCTTGCCTTCCCCTAGTGGATGCTATATCCATTCTCCTAGCCATTTTCCATGAACATCTGTCAATGACCTTCAGTATGTACCCTGAGCATCCTCTAGGGAAAAAAATAATGATGTTCTTATGCGGGTTAGAAAACCACTTCTCAACAGATCACCTCAGTGCTAAAAGTGTACCCTCTGGTAGGTAACTGCAGTAAATCCTAACAAATCATGCTGTTGACTATGGGCTCATGATGAGCAAACAAGTAAACCTTTTACGTAGTGCCACTTTGGACACTCTACTAAGCCCTAATAACTTAGTTTTCCTGAGCCATGAAATAGCAACAGATATTTTTAAAATCAGCTAAAGACCTACTGTATATGATGCAAAGTTTTACCTTCATGTCTTTTATGGACTCCATTAGAAGCCAGCTCTTATCCACTATAAGAGTAGCAATCTGCCAGTCTACATCCCCAGCCCTCCTCCTCTGCAGAGCTAGCCACATGTTTAGCCTATACTGAATATAACTCTGCCAGTCCTAAGGAGCTTAATGACCCAGAGCCCCTGATCCAGCCTAAAAGGACCTGGAAGATGAAGTAGCATCTGAGCTTGGTTGGAGTTTATTCTGTTTTGTTTTGATCCAATGATCTGGGTCAAATCCAGATCCTTGCACATGCTAGGCGATTACTGGACCACTGTGCTACACCCACAAACCCTTGCTTTGTTTTCCCTTTGATTGGTTTGGTTAAAGGGTCTTGCTATGTAGCCCAAACTGGCCTTGCACTTACAATCCTCCAGTCTCAGCCTCCTCAGTGTTGTGGCTCCAGGAATGAGTAACCTTGACTCACTGATACCATCCACTCAGTCCAAAGCCTCTCCCGGGAGCTACTAGAAATGAGGGGTAAGCAGACCCAGAGGATGGGGACAGCAGGGACAGAGTGACAGGAAAGAAGCTATCTCTGGATGTCCCCTTACACAGATGGTAGGGCAGTGAGCAGGCAAAGGAGAGAAAGTGTGGGTGGGACTGTCAGAGTGTGGTCCACATGAACCCGCTGTGCACTTGGAGAGACAGGCAGACTTCCCAGGCTGCTGTGACCCATAAGAAATTTGAAATTGCCATCATTCACAAACTTCTCTAGGAGCAGCCTCTTGTGTTGGTAACCCTAAGCCTACCCATGCCAACAGATCTAGAGTGAGAGCCAGTGAGGGCCTGTCTTGAGCCTGAGGACTGAGTTTGAACCTGACTAAGCACCTGTCTTTCCAGGTCACTTGAACCCTTGAACCAAAATGTCAGATGAGTACCTGCTGTGCACTAGAAAATGCTGCCGAGCAGGTCTCTCCCTTTGTAGCCCAGGCTGGAACTGTCCCCCAGACTCCCTTGCTTCTCAGCATCTCTGCCTTCCTTCCGTTCAGGCTGTAACCTTTGCAGACACTGCCTCCCACTGAAGCCCATCTCCATCTTCATTAAGCCAGCCTGCCAGATGCTCAGCCCTAATTTACCAGCATGGCCTTTCCTAGGCCAGGAGACATGAGTAGGACAGTTAATAATGCTGTGCTCATTCTCAGGACTACCTTCTGATCCCCTCCTCCACAACCTCACCCTTCCTAGTGAGCCCAGTCACTTCCCTCAGCAACCTACCAGGGAAGCTTTTCCAGGGATTACAAATAGATGGCGCACAACACACTCTTCCTTCGATGGGTATGGAGACCAAAGCTCAGAGTGTACAGGAGCCCCTTCAGGTCACACAGAACACCTGCCTCCAAGGCTGGTCTTCCCTGAGTCTCAGTACCTGGCAGACCCATTACCTCTGAACTTAGCATTCTTTTATTCCCGTGGTACTGCTTCTGGAAGCCAGGAAGAACCATGAAAACCTAGAGAGGAAGAAAGAAAACATACAATGGGTGTGAGGGCACCATCCGCTGCTTCAAACAGGTTGGAGGAATCCTGATCTGGCTTCTTGGAGGCAGCAGGTGTGCTGGGGGCCATGTCTCCCCTGAGGGGAGCAAAGGGCTGATTCGGGATGCCTGAGTTCAAGTTCCTGACTTCCAAGCCACCCTTCTTCCTCCTGCATTGGCTCTGCTCAACACCTGCTGAGCACAGGGCTTACATGCAAAAGCCAACTCTTACTGCTGTCCTGGGTCCAGATGGTGCCACACAGGATCACTGTGAATGTGGCTATACAAGCACAGGATGTCACAGAAGTCCCTGAGTTGACCACTCATACTGGGAAACTTTGATGTAAAGGGATTCACTATCAATAATCACATGGGAAATTGTTTTTTAAAATATTATATTATTACACAGAAAGCTAGGTATGGTGGCACACACCTGTAACCCCAGGTGCCCACAGGCAAAGCAGGAGGATTACCAAAAGTTTGAGGGCATCCTAGACCAGAATGAGACCTCAGACAACAGCAACAGCAACGGGGATGACAAGGAGGCTCAGTGCCTGAAGTAGAGGACCAGTCAGGCAGCTCATAGCTGCTCCAGGGGACCTGGCGCCCTCTGCTGGCCTCCTCAAACACCCACATAAAAATACAATTACATGAAGATGAACACACACAAATAAATAAAATTTAAATTTTTTTCCATTTAAATCTCAAAAGAAACAGGGACTGAAGAAATAAACCAAGGGTTAAGAACACTTGCTGTTCTTCCAGTGACACGAGTTTGGTTCCCAGCACCTACACTGGGAGTCAGAACTGCCTACAATTCCAGATCCAAGGGAGCTGGTGCCCTCTGCTGGTCTTGAAGCATGTGTATATACATTCCATACACTTATAGATACACACATACACAAAAATAAAAAGTTAAAATATTTAATTTTTTAAATGGGCAGGCTAGGGATGCAGCTTAATTGGGGGAGTGCTTTCTTAGCATGCACAAAACCCTGACTTTGGTCCCTAAAACTGCATAGATGGTACACAATAGTATTTGCCTATAATTCCTGCACTTGAAAGATGGAGGTAAAAAATATCCATTCAAGGTCATCCTTGACTACATAGGAAGTTCAAGGTCACTCTGGGCTATGTGGAATCCTGCTTTTAAAAAGGATTCTACAGGTGTGTGTGTGTGTGTGTGTGTGTGTGTGTGTGTGTGTGTG